AACTTGCTTTGGGATATGAACATGTGTCAATAAAAGAAATTTGCATCACAGTTGGAGAGCCGGTGACCCTTCTCTTTTTTTCTTCTTAACACTGCAATGTTTCGATTTGCATTTTTAGTTATGCAGCAGGATCCAAATGACATCTTTTGCTTCCTTTTGCTTATTAGTAGGGATGCACAGATACTTTGCGTACCAGTGCAGATACTTGGCATTTTCATGAGAACTCCCAGGGTGGCAGCGGTTGCAGCTGGGACCTGGCTCTGGTGCTCCACCACTGTCCTGAAATTATTAGTCTGTATAGTTTTAGAAAAACTGTCACATGACAATAAACAAAAATGTATCAGTACTCGTACTTGTAATTACTCAGCAAGTACCAGTACTCGTACTCGAAACTGGTATCTCTGCATCCCTTTATTTATATTTATAAAAACAAAATCGTACAATAAAACAGAGATGTACAAATCCCAGGATCTCCGTGTGCTCCTTACAAATGACAGCTGCCTACTAATTTTTTAATTTTTCTCTAGAATAGTCTTGGAGCTAAAAAGTATCGGTACTTGTACTCGTACTTGTACCGAGTACTGTACTTGGTATCTGTGCAACCCTACTTATTAGGATGTGTTGCTGCAAAACAGTGCAACATGCACCATTGAAAGCAAGACTAAATATGCCTTGTCCTGGCATAGGGACTGTGTTGAGCAGGGGAAGCCAAACTGGCCATCCAGCTGCAGTGAAACTACAAACCTCATGATGCATCTCTCTCTCCGGGAGTCATGTCTGCGGCTGTGAGAATCTTGCAATGCCTCATGGGATTTGTAGTTCCACCACAGCTGGAGGGCCAGAGTTTGGCTACCCATGCTGTTGAGGAATGTAGCCCAGCGTAGGAGGTGTGAATGAGCCTTCCAGGCTTTCTCTTCTATTGTATTTGCGGGCCATTTCATATTTTGGCTTGGGAGGTGGTAGGAGGCCAGTTAATAGCAAACACAAGTAGCGAACCTTATATGTGGATCTATAGAGGTGCCCCAATCCATTTTATATTATTCAGTCACATCTATAAAAAAAAAAAAAGTGCATGTGGCCCCAGCGATCCAGAGGAGGTCGGCGGTCACACTCTGATATCACATACAATGCAGGACTGCATTGCACACGAGGACAATGAGGACCTGCCTGCAGCATCGGAGATAAGGGGTGAGCTCTGGAATCCTGCCAAAGCGAGCAATACGGAAATTCCAGATACACACGTATATATTTTCTTCCTTCCACATGCAGGATGAATGATGAAAATATAACAGATCCCTCGATCAATGCTTTCGAGCATGGATAGACAAATCCTCCGCTGCTTTCATTGAGGGGAATTTATATCTCTGCATTGCTGGAACGCACGTTACCTAAAAAAATATCAACGGGCCCTTCAGACACATAGTATGGTTAGATACCTGGCACGGAATTTGCATATCAATTTTTTTCAGTCAAAGGAAATGGAGGCAATTTGTGAAATGGTTTAGGGCTGCAACAACTAATCGACATAATCGATTATAATCGATGATTGAAAAAGTTGTCAACTTTTTCAATCATCGATTAATCGGCCTCTGATTAGTTGGCCCTGTTCACGGCTCCACACAAAAATCGGCTAACTAATCGATTTTGAAAATAATCGTTAGCTGCAGCTCTAAAATGGTTATCGATTATATCATCGTGACATGAAAAGTCATTCAAACATGAAATAAAATGTAGAGATAGAAAGCAGTAAATGAAGAGATAGAAATGTATATGTTATCTCGGCTACGTCAACATTCGGTGACAACACAAGTCTCAGCCTTGTACTAAGAATAACCGGAGATTGCAGAGTGTGCGGAGCGGCCTGTAGACTCTTCGTGACTCAGCGCTTTCCCCGCACAAATCCAAACAAAGGACATCTGGGCTATTTTACAGGCCTAATCCCCATTCCTCAACAAATCTTCAGAATTCAAACAGGAAATACAACTCAAAAAATAAAAAGGGAGAAACCAAGAAAGCTTTGTTTTTTTTTTTTACCTTCATGTATATTCCCCCCCCACATGTCCAAGAGATTTACTCTCACCATCCGTTTCCAGTGACGTTGCACTAGGAGAGGAATAGAGGAAAAGATTTCCTCAAAGGGGGCCACGGTCAGCAATAGGTTCTGGGCCCTTCCCCCATCTATCGAAACCTTAAAAAAGGAGAACTATGGGGTTAAGGCTTTTCCTCATAGTTCTCCTTAGGGTAACGGGAGGACACAAACTAGCGTCCTCCCGTCACCCTAAGCTCAGTATACCGCGAGCTAAAGCTCGCGGGATACTGAGACGCCGCAGCTGAAGCGGATCCTGACAATTATGTCTGGATCTGCCCAGCTACGCGAGTGACAGCTGGCTCTGCCTATCTAGAGGCAGAGCCAGCTGTACCCGCCCCCTCCCCCGTCCGTTCCGCCAGTCAGCGCTGGCGGATCGGAGCGGGGGAAATCCAGCCTCTCCCGTCACGGCAGAGAGCCGTGACAGGATCGAGAGGTGAGCGAGCGCCGGTATCTGTTCGCTCACTTCCCGATCTACTGAGCTGACCTGTGACAGTCTCATTGTCACAGGTCGGCTAGAACTATGATGTGAGTGAAAAGCACACACCCTATAGTTCACACCTAGGTGTATCGAATATGCGCGTTTCGTGGTAAAAAAACGTGCGACAAACGCACGTTTCCAATGCCTACTTGGCTATATCCCAATGGAAACGCCTGACAAAAAACGCCCCAAAGAAGCTCCTGTACTTCTTTGGGCGTAGGACGTTTTCTAGCGCGTTTATACGGCCTGTAATACGCCCAGGTGTGAACCATACCCATAGGAAAGAATGGGATTTCGGTGTTTGAGCGTTTTGCAGAGCGTAGGAACGCGCTACAGAACGCCCAGGTGTGAACCGGGCCTTAAAGCTGACCTCCGGTCTTCCCTTCCGTCTTGCATAGTTATACCGGCTCCTTTCCTGGACTGAAATTGCTTCCTGTGATATCACTGCACACTGCGAGCTTCTTACAAAATGCACATCTAACACCGAGAAAGCTAACAATCTCTGCTAATGTTACAGCTGAATGCAACATAACAGCTAAATACACAGCTGATAGACATACATGTAGATGGTTGTATCTGCAAAAGAATTTGTAACTCTGTTCAGCTATTCCGGTGATCCAGGACTCCTGTAAGTACGCTTTATTAAAATCCCAAACCGATTTGCTCGTCATCAACTGCCACAGTCCTAATGCAGCTGCACCAGACCACCATTTAGTGCCTGTACTTCTCAGGGGACATCAGAGGCTCTGATGAAGATTGGATCTGCCTAGAAACGCGTTAGCCTTGCTAGGTAATGATGGCTGCAGCATTTTCAGATAGGCGAAGAATTTTATGGTTCTTTCCTGATCGCCCCTGTAGCAACCTGACTGGATTTTGCAAGCAATTCATCCCTTTACTCTTGCCAGTACCTACCACCATCCCCCCCACCTCCCCTTCCGCAAGAAACTTTTATTGGAGAAAAACATAATTCTTAAATTTCCAAAACTTTGCAGTTACAGGAAAGGAAAAGAACAACAAATACAGAGTGAGACGAGACAACATGGCTTGCAGAATCCCAATCACACTTGCAGAATGGGGCCGATTGCACGAGTCTCTCGAATTGTTCCGAGACTCAAGCAACAGCTGCATTCAGGTGCAATCATCTGCAGGTACAATACAAAGAAAGCCACCAGTACACCCCGCCGTTGTCATGTAATTGCACACACTGCAGATGATCAACCCTTATTCATTTCAAAGAAGTCTCACGGAGCAATGTGTGAGACTATTGTGATCAGCAGCTATCATAGAATATTACGCAAAAAACTTCCAAGCACAACGTATTATTGTAATATGTATTTACAGGAGAAAAAGGTGTTACAGACCATCTTTGTTCCAGAGAGAAATGTAGACGGAAAGCTCCATTAATGATATCAAACCCGTCCGGCCAGCGAGCACCTTTATAGAAGTGTTTTATAATAAACAAATACGAATTGCACAAGAACAAGGTGCTTAGACTATTCCTTTGTTACTTCTCTAAGCATGTCTATAAAGCAAGGCCCCATTCACACTGAGCGGAAAATCCAGCAATTTCCGCCGCGATAACGCACATTTTTGCTGTGCAATATCGCGAGATGTCGCCGGCCAATGGTTTTCAATAGAGCCGTCTTAATGTACAGCTCCATGTCGCCCGTTGCGGTTCCAAGTCGCGCCTGCAAGACCCTTTTGCCCGCGATGTCGCGCAAATTTCCTTTTTTTTAATGCAGCCCGACGGTGAAGGTCGCTGGAACGTCGCCCGAACCGTCGCGGAAATCCGCTCGAGGTGAGCGTCGCTTAGTGTGAATGGGGCCTAAAACTATGCAACAATAAAGTTCCGACTGGGTCACAGTATTGATCCTCTCCCAGTGCTGTTAGCTAAAGGAAGTAAAAAAGTTACTTTTATCTTTACGAGCCCTTTCTGCACATAGTAAGAGCTCGTGGGGTTTACAGGGGAGAGGGCCCGGACAGTATAAGTAGACCCTGTAATGTACCGCTGCTTTAAGGGTAGGTTCACCCCATTTTCCAGACCAGATCTGGTCCGGAACATGGTGTGAACCAGTCCGCAGTTCTAGTGCATTCCAGACCAGACAAAATGAGACATGCAGTATTTTTCTGGTCTGGAACGGACTGCTGGGGTGTGAACAGAGGCCAGAAATAACATAGGGATACATTAGGATGCATTTTGGGTCCAGAAACAATCTGGTCTGGAGGTGATCGGGAGGTGGTGTGAATGGGCCTTAAATCTGTTGTTTCACTTATCTCTGCCTGGCAGTTTCGCTACAATTTTAACTGTTTTGGCAACAGTTGTATCAAAATAAACTTCAATAAAAGAACGAAGTAGAAGTTCTATGTAAATGTCCGAACACTCAATACAGGTCAGCGACGTGTGGAGAACAAGCTGCTCTGGTGGTCACTCACCTGACCCTCCGATAGGTGAGGTAGCTGGGGTTATGCCCTGAACATTTAAGCCAAGCTGGTGAGAGGCGACAGGGGCCGGTGCTGCTGTTGGTGGTCCAGGAGGATTCTCTCGTTGCGGAGAGGTAAGCGGCGTCGTGGGCTGCGAGGACGGCCCGCCAGCGAGTCGAGCCAGGCGCCTACGCCTAATCTGTAATAAAAAAAAAACCATGAACACGTGCAGCACACACGCATAGTGCAGATGATGTACACAATCAGAGGAATCCGAGCAAATTTGGACACACAAGGTTATTATGATTCCACAGGGATATAGAAGATTCAGCAATGGCAAGCAATGAAAGGTCTCTAGAACATGGTAGTCCGAGACCTTAATAGTCCGAGACCTTAATAGTCCGAGACCTTAATAGTCCGAGACCTTAATAGTCCGAGACCTTAATAGTCCGAGACCTTAATAGTCCGAGAAATACAGACTCCTCCTGGTAAGATTGCTCTAACAAGTCTCGTAGAATTCTCTTAAAGGAAACCTGTCAAGATGGAAACAAGGAAGCTGCCACTGACAACTACTTTTTAATGGTAAACAATCCAGGGAGATCACCCTACACAGTAGGCACCCAGTGAAGTTCCAACTTGCAACCTGCTGACTTATTCCAAGTCACCGACATACCATTGCTGGAGCAGAGGAGGGGACAGGCTGGAGGGAACGCTGCCAAGGCCGGTTGCCTCTGAGGATCAGGTGAGTGCAACTTTGTTATTTTAGACCTTAGACCAAAACAAGCAATGAACCCTTGCAATGCTGGGGTAGCCCCACTGCAAGGGTTAATAATAGTTTCCCTCTGAGTTCTGCGAATGGGAACATGAAAGGAATATAAAGTAGGTGTTACCACAATTTGGCTGCAAACATGTCGCTTCAGTCTGAGCTCGGAGCTGAGGACTCTTTACCAACCCTGTGACAGCAGTGGGCCAATCACTAACCACCATCGCAGTTGTAGGAGAGGAAGTTGTAGGAATCACATGCTCCCCCATAAAACAGGAAGTACGGGTTATTTTCTTTGATCCTGGCAGCAGGGGAGGGAAAGGAAAGGTCCCTACGTGCCACTGAGAAGTGTCCATTAAAGAAACCTCTTGCTTTGTTCTGTATGGCCAAAGCATAGGTTTGTTTTCAATCATAATTGATAATAATTATATATTTTTTTTTATGCAAGAAAGTTACCATTTTACTGAAAATAATGCACCTTGCTAATGCTGGCATCACTACTGCTTGATATGAAGACTGATCATTAATGACAGGTGCCCTTTAATGTCCTCTCCTGTAGTGACCTCTAGAACTATCATCAGTCTGCCTATGCAGCATACTACAAAGAATGTCCAGCAAACAAGCTCCATGCTGTGTGCCCCCCCCCCAGAGAACATGTGATGGCAGCTATAGGATAACACACCCCATGCGTTTTACAATGACTGTACGTGCTGACACGGCATGCTAATTAAATGATGAGCAGCAAATGAAAAGCAGAAAAACAAAAGCAAACAGACGACAAAAATAACGCGGTGTCAGGTGATCTGTATATTCCCCGGGGAATTATCTGTAATCTGATCGGATGACCTTTCACCCCATTTTAACCTGCTTTGGATACAGACAGATCTGGTGCGATTTTGTTCTGTTTGTATTGTTATTTTACCTTCATTTCAGAGCCGAATACAGTGTAAATAATAACAGAGCGCAGTTTAAAAGAGGAACTTAACCCTTGTCTCAAAAATGACAGCAAACACACCTTCAGGGCTTGTTCACACCATTTTCTGGTCCCGATCTGGAGCAGATCTGAAGACGCTGTGCGTGCTGTGCGTTTTTACCGCGTTCCAGCTAAAAAAAATATTTTCTTTTGTTTTGAGTGGGGCTGTCAATAGGTCAGCTGCAGTGCATTTGTTGCGTTTGACGCGTTCGTGCGCTTGCAGACCGAACAAAATGTGACATACAGTATTTTCTCTGTCCGGCCAGGAACGGACTGCGCACGTGAGAACTGTAGCCCATAAAACACATAGGGATACATGGGGATGCATTTTGGGTGCAGGAGCGCACGGTTCTGGTCTGGACACAAACCAGACGTCGTGTCAACAAGCCCTTAGAAATGTTTAGTGATGACAATCTAAAAACAAATACTTCTAGATAATTGCCGGTGTTCTATCGAAAGCTCCAACTCATTGAACTCTCCAACTACCTCACTTCCGGTGCTCAGAAAGACTGGAGCTCTGTACAGTTGCGGTGTGCATGCGGAATATTGTTAAAATGCAGCTGTACAGAGCTCCGTCAGTCTTTGTGTTTTGCAGTCTAATGCCATCTGGTCAAAATCTCCAACTTGCAAGTACCCGGCAGTGAGGTAGTTGGAGATTGACAAGTTGGAGCCTTCCTTAGAACACTGGCTTTGTATTCTTTTTATACCTTATTTTCCTTTTCCTCTCAATTCTTCTATCAGTGGCCATTTTTACTAAGGGCAGATGAATCTCTCTCTCTACTTCCTGGAACTCTGGCACATGTGACTAGGACATGTGACCATGCACATCATCTCAGCAGGGGGGGGGGGATGCCTTTCTCTGAGAGCTCCCAAGATTTTGTAGTTTACAGATGAGATTTCCCAGCTGATGTAACTTTCCCAAGATGCATCTGTGAGACCAGAATGACATCACTAATGCCCAAGAGGACCAGGAAGTGGAAAAATAACAAATTGTAAGTAAGAGAAAAATATATATGTTTGTTCAATGAGTGTAAGATGATTTCGTATCAGCACTCAGTGCTGAACACGGATGTGATTTTTACTGAAAGGGGGTAAAGGTCTGCTTTAGGGGACTGTCATCAACTACTAGACTCACTGCAGCGAAAGGTTTGTAATTGGCAAAAAAGTAAATAAATAAGCAAAACTAACTTTTCAAGCCATTACAGAGTGTCAGGTCAGTGACCCCGGGAGCTCCTGTATTATCACGCGGCACTCGCAGAAGGAAGCTAGAGAAATACTTTGATTTACCGACATGACCCGCCAGCTGCCGGGCCCGTCACCTCTTTAATACCAGTGCAGTACTTGGAGGTGTTACCTTTATACTAAGTGCCTATACTACCGGTAATCCACAGGAAGGGAAATAAAATGTTTATAGCCAATATAGAAGAAGCGTGTTAGCACGTGCTAATGAATGCCTCTGTAACCCTGGAATGCACATCATTTCTCATCCCTTTGGCACATAAGACATATGTTTAATAAGACATATTAAACTACAACATTCACATGAATCAGGGCACGTGTCAGTGTCCCCTAATCGCACGGTTATTGTTGTCGTCTCTAAAACAGAATTCCAAGGCATTGGAATCTTTTTTTAAAGGGACAGGTCCTCTTGATGGTGCACCCACCCACTACCAATGATACTTACCTTTCCAGCACTCGCCCACCCAGCTGCAGCCCCGAGACTAAACCCTATGCTGGCTCCATGAAAACACTCCCCTTGCAGTGAGGTTAAGCCGTCAGCACTGCAAGGGTTAACCGAGTAGCTGTAAAAGGACTTTAACTTGGCTGCTCCCCCTGCAGTCAGCGCTACCCCCCCCCGCCCCGCCCCCCCCCCCCCCCCCCCCCCTACGGGGCTGTGGACTGTTCCTCTGCGTCCTCGCGTACAATGCAGGGCTACGGGACCTGCTTTGCATGTGATGACTTCATCAGGCTTTAACCAGCGGAGCACACGGGGAAGGGGCTGTGGGGGCCTTGTTTAGAGTCTGTGGAAACGGGGATCACTCCTGTTTAACAAACATTACTTCAATAAACCGGCAAAGGAGCCGGTCCAAATGTATTCATTCGTATGAGCCGCCTAATGCACCAAAAAAGGTGCATGTACCATTTCTGGCAGCGCACGTCCGCTGGCAAGGTGCATTGGGAGCCATTTAGAATGAATGTCTCCAAAATAACCATTACAAGCGACGTGCACAATGATGTGAATGGGCCCTAAAGTCAATTCCTATTCAGTTTTGAATAGATCAGGGAAGGATTTCAACTAATATGGTATATGTATTTCTGTCTGTGATGCCATTGGTGAACTTTCCCCTTTAACGTTGGGTCTAGGTGACAAACCTGTGACATCAGAACTAGGATAAGGGGAACGGGGGGGGGGCGGTCACCAGACACTGACAGCAATACAACTACTAGATGTTCTTATGCTGAAACTAGATGTGGTCAGTCTGATGGCCAGCATCATTCAACTCACTTCCTCTGAGCCCCAGCCTGTGATTGGACAGTGAAATGAGAGGCAGCACAGTGATGAGCTCATCTCTGTCACTCCTCTCTCTCCTCCATTTGGCATGCTTCTCGTCAGCACCTACAACTTGCGCTGCTTCTTTCATTCACACTACATCCCTACTACACAGGGGCTTCAAGAGGCTGATTCCAGGTCAATGCCAGCTACTAACCCTGCTTGAAATTTGAAGGCTACATGCTCCCTTCTCACCTCGTGCCGAGGCAGCATGGAGCCTGCTTCCTGGCCAAACAGGAAGCCGGGCAGTGAATCATAACACGGCGCCCAGTCATTACACGCTGCCTGGCTTCCTTAATGGGACTTCCGGTATCGGCAAGTACCGGGGAAAAAAAATATAAATAATATCGGTACTCGATACCAAAAAACTGGTATCGGTGCATCCCTAGTATTAATGATTACAAAGCTGCATTAATGTGTGTATTTTATATTTCCCCGGAGTGCAGTTTTAAATAACACTAGAACATAGTGCAGACTACACCTTGTTTCCCTCAGGACAATTCATTTCAGAGCAGTTTCCAGGCACTTCGCTGAAAACATGTGCTGTATATAAAAAAAATAAGGGCTGCAGGAATGGAATGAGACTGGCATGAGAAGCACTTTGTGGTTTATTTTATCACAAAGCCCGCTCTTTTAAGTCACAAAATGGCTGCTCAGGTGACAGATTCACTTTAGCAGGAAACTAGGTCATGTTTTTAAACAGTCATCGCTTAATAATGAACATATAAGCGCCGCACTCATCGCTAATTTGGGTAAAATCTCTGAGCCGGCAGACATTCCTCCAAGCAGAGACGTTCCACTCACCCCGCATGATTACCGCAATGGTATTTACTATACATAGGGATAAATGACAAAACAAACAGCCGGTGCAATGACAGAGGTCTGGTACAATGCAATTACTGATCACATGACTGTGCGGCCATGGCGGCTCTCCGCCATCAGAGAATAAATCACGCCTGTTATCTCAGCAAATCGATGGCCTATAAATGTGGAAGACTTTAATCTGAAAGTGTACGCCTGACTATGTACAAAGAGCGTCATGGGCCGGGTTTTACATTAACCTAATGAGGCAATGTCAGTAAAAGGATACACTTTGCTTTATACAACGTTCCTGAAGAACGAGGGAATTTCCAGCAAATTTATATCTCACACAAGCATGTGACAAACCCAACAAGCTTTTAGGACACACAGACAGGACAGAGGACCTGCTGGTGGGATTAAAAGGACACCTAAGGGAAGAACGTAGGCTGCCATCATTGACCTCCACATGAAAATTCCATTGCCTGGCTGCGTCTCTGGCTGCACTGACCCAGAATCAGCAAACAGATCAAAGAAGACACAGTGTAGTCATAACATCTGATTTGAGTAGTGGTCCCGGGTGACCCAGTCAAAAATAATAAAGATCAGCATGGCGGCCAGGAACAGGCATTTTCAGAAGGTGAGGCAATGGTTGCCTCCATGCTTCTTCAGTAGAGGTTTCTTTAACATCTCTGCTGGGAGGACCTGAGAAAGCCCACAGAAGAGCCGAGCCAAAACAAAGAAGTCTAGGTCGGCCTGCTTCCACCAATTTCCACAAGTGATCCGGAGGCTGTGGACAGTCAAGCATATGCATATTCTTAACAAGTTAATGAGCTTTAAAACAAGCCATCACTATTCTCTATAGCTTCATGCCATGTGGTGCAATTCATCCTCAAATCCTCACAGCAGATATGAACCTGAACATACTTTGCACAGATTAAAGATTTTTAGCTTAAAATGGGCTTTCAGGTGCAGTCCAAAAATAACATAGGAGTGTAAAAGGAAAACAATGGATTCCTTATGGCTGTGTGCCGTTTTCTCTGCAGCATCGGTTGAGTTGGGCAGACGCAGGCAGAATTCATGCCCGGTTCACACCTGGGCGTTTTGTAGTGCGTTCCTACGCTCTGCAAAACGCTCAAACACCAAAATCCCATTATTTCCTATGGGTATGGTTCACACCTGGGCGTATTACAGACTGTATGAACGCGCTACAAAACGCCCTACGCCCAAAGAAGTACAGGAGCTTCTTTTGCCGCGCGTATTCATTGGGATACAGCCAGGTAGCCCTCGGAAACGCGCGTTTGTCGCTTGTTTTTTATCGCGAAGCGCTGTAAAGACGCGCGGCACGAAACGCTGGATTGTAGAACCGAGGCTGGATCCACAGGAAAAGCAAAACAAACGACAAACGCACTCAACAATTTGTTACCAGTTATACAGTAAGGTGCATACGAAATGGGCTTTGAACAGTAGAACAGTAGAAAGGCATCATGGCACACTCACAAACTAGCATGTAAAACAACTTGTCTCACCACTAAGGACAATGACAGAGGTTTGGATACACGTCTTTTGTCTCTGTCATTGTCCTTAGTGGTGAGACAAGTTGTTTTACATGCTAGTTTGTGAGTGTGCCATGATGCCTTTCTACTGTTCTACTGGATCCACAGGAAGCCTGTACAAATCAATGACAGGCTGACACTGTCCGCAGATGTTTGCATATAATCGCACAAGGAGACTTCACATGTGATTAGGGACAGATAAGCTGCCCTGTATACAGATTGTTTGCGTCCAGAGCTGCTCATCAGTCAATAACCCCAGATAACTGCTCTAAGTGGGATTACATGCCAGCAGCTGTGGACCCTCTTAATCTCTCATTGATTTGCACAGGCTGAGCGCGTCCACAGCGGATGGCAAACACACGGCTGTACACCCACCAGAAATACGCTGATCTAGGCTGTGTACAGTCATGGGAATGAGGCCTTGTTTATTTGCGCACTTTTATTTCAAGGGTATTTCAGGAATGTTAAGGCTTGAGCGTTTTATGATTTAGTCAATAGAAAGCTAGCTGCTAGGAGGAAGAGAAAGCTGGTAGGCGCAAAATCATTGTTTTTCAGATGCTCCGACTGAACTCTGCAGGGGCCAGAAATGCGTGACTCTGCCCAAAAATAAGCTTCAAGTGACGCAACACTCAGGTGTCAACAGGCACCACTGAAAATAATGGGATTCTTCATATTCAGCGTTATCACACTCTGGGAACGTGTAACAAAAAGCTTAGGTGTGAATGGGGTGCAGGGGGCCAATTACCCTACCAGCCTGTATCCGGAGGAAACCCACACAAGCACAGGGAGAGCATGCAAACTCCATGCAGACAGTGTCCTTGAGCATCCCAGTGCTGCGAGGCAGGAGTGCTAACCGCTGAGCCACCACACTGCACTAAGTTCTCTGTGTCACTTACCTACAGGTGTAATAGCACCATATATAAAAGTAGGTGGATCAGTAATTAAATGTTCATTCGATAGGAAGAATGTTTACAGGTATAAAATACTTTATAGATTTCCCGTTATACGCCCTGTTTATAAAAACACAACAACATCTCCCTATACAAATCAGTAACTGTGTGTGAAGTCTGGGCTCCAGCAGAGAATGCGGCCCATGGGTCATCTGTCCAGAGTCCTGATCAGAATGTATGTACCACAGTGATACAATGTGAGGGCTATAACATCAATCACTGACTACACGCAGCAGAATACTCACCTACAGAGATTAGAACACTACATACAGTGGTACCTCGGTTCACGAACTTGATTCGTTCCACGATTCTGGTTGCGAAACAAATCAAACCGCAATCTCGACTAGAGCAAGCCACGACCATGTGTCAGAGCGGGGAAGATGGCTGCGGTTGTGTTCAATCACCCGATTCGGAGTGCGTGAACGGAAGCAACATTTTGCCGAACTTTCTGTTCCCGAACCGAATTGTTCGCAAACAGAAGCGTTTTGTGAACCGAGGTACCACTGTATAAGAAAACAATGCAATAATAAAAAAGGTGTGAGCACACGGGTATTTCCAGGCTCTGTGCTGTATAAAGTCAGTCTGTAGGTTGGGTATATATACAGATTGTTTTCTATGACAGGGGCAGAACTGGAGGATTAGGATATATATAGATAGATATATGTGTTTCCCCGAAAATAAGACACTGTCTTATATTTTTTTTGGCTCAAAAACCACACTAGGTCTTATTTTCGGGGTAGGTCTTATTTTTTTTTTATGTACAACAATCCAAAACATAATGCAAATCCAAATTAAATTAAAAAATAAAAGTTAAGAATAGGGTGATCAGGGCAACGAGGGGTGGCGTACCTTTCCAAGAGCAATTTGGTAACCAATCGCTGGCATGTCATGTAAATTGGCGATCACATAGGGGGCTTCTTACCCCCCCATGTAATAGCAATAACGTTGTTTGTAAAAAAAAAAAGTAACACAAAAAAGAATCATAAAAAAAATAAAGCATAAAAAAATGAAAAAATCCCCGCCCCCCACATACACACGCATATATGCATCAGGTTACAAAAAATATGGGTAGGAATAAATGTTTTATAACATAACGTAGGGAAACACATACACACACACATACAAACTATTCATTTTTATATATAGAATAGTAGAATTTAGGTCAGTCTCACCTCGTCAGCGCTCAGCTCCTCCATGTTTCTCCTCTTAATGGTGGCAGAGTCTGAAGAAATCTACTCTCCTTAAAGGGGCCTCAGTCTGAGGGATCAGTGAAAGGACTGACAGAACCTAATGGGGCAGTTGACAGAAAACAGGGGCCCTTATGGAGGGTAAAGTCTTGGGGTCTACTAACAAAGAAAAAAGGGCCCCTGAATAAGGTGTAGAATCTAGGGGCCCTGGGAAAGAGGTGTAGTGCCTCTATCGGCCTGGAGGAAGTACAGAGGCAGAGTCCATGGTGGCCAAAGGATGGGCAGACAAAAATCGAGAGACCTGGGGAGTATAGGGGCAGAGTCTAAGGGCCCAAACGATGGACAGGTAAATTCTAGGGGCCTACTGAATGGCTAGGCAGGTTCTAGGGGCACACAAAACAGAATTGATAGAGTTTAGGGGCCCAATATATAAAAAGGCAATCTAAGGGTCCAAAGCATGGACAGGCAGAGTGCAGGGGCCACAAGAATGGGTAGGCAGGGTCTAGGGGCCCACAGAACAGAGGAATGGAATCTAGGGGCTCAGAAAATCTAAAAGCAGTCCAGGGGGCCAGAGAGTGAAGGAGCAGAGCCTAAGGGCCTAGAGAAAGGGTAGGGGGACAAGAGAAAGGCCAGAAAGGGTCTAGGGGCCCTCAGAAGAGTGCAGAGTTCAGGGGCCCGGGCTGTAAGGGACAGTCGGCCTCAGCTCCTCATGGCCAGCGGGCAGACCTCGGGTACACCGCTCTCTCTCCTCCCACACAGGCACCGGAAGAGATGACAGCCTCTGCCGCCGCTTCACACAGGATTATTCATCAAAACAACCGGGCGGCCATCTTGCCAGCGCGCTCACGTCACCTCAGGAAAGCCCTGTCCCCCCTGTGCGCGCGCCACTGGCCAATCGGCGCGCCTAGGGGCGTGCAGGGAGGTAGGCAGGCGGGGCGGGGCCGGGAGGGAGCAGAGAAAGGAGGGGCCGCCTGGCAACAGGGGAAGAGTCTGGTGTCCATGGCAACCCGAGCTGGGCCTTCCTGCCTGCCAAAGCCTAGGGGAGCCATTTCCTTGAAAGAGGCTGACACACTGTTCAGTGGATTCCAGGAGCCAGTGCAGGCACACAGTAATTCCCAACGGTATATTGGGATCTATTCACTGTGACCAGTGCCCAGTGTTACCTCCTTTAATTTTAGTGGAAGTTACAGTACATTGCCTGACACCCTCACAAATGGGTAGCCCTGCACAAATAAGCATTGCCAGATTATTGGCTAGCTTTCCTATAGTCAATAGATGAACAATGAGTAGATAGATAGATAGATAGATAGATAGAAGAAAATAGAGAAAACCGGAACTGCATGATGGTGGCTGAGAGGAGCTCAGGTTTGGACTGGGTTCGGCCCGAACCTGAGCTCGTCCCTACCTGCAACGTTTGCAAGACGTTACAACTTGCAAAGCTTGCCGAACTCCTGCATTCAGGTCACTGTAAGCGCACCTCAGACGCATTATGAACGTTCCTGAGGAGTATAAATAGGCTTTCGCGGTGGCTCAAACACTCCGGAATCTCGATCACTGGTGGCTAACTCAATGGTTCCACCAGTAAGGGAGCCATGCCATGGAAGATGATGGCCCCTTAGATAGAGTTATCAAGGATATGGGCAGAACACAGTTACCCAATAAGTATACTATGTACAGTTTTTGATCATTATAATGGTGGGAATTAGGGATGTCCCGATGCCACTTTTTCAGGCCCAAGTACAAGTACATCCCCTCATGTACTTGCCGATACCAATTACCGATACTTTTTCTTAAAGGAACAGGTGACTTTAAATGATCCATAGTACAACTACATGTTATGTACTATGGATCATGGTTTAACCTATTCATGTTAGCAGTGGAGAATTGTAACTCTATTGCTGGAGTGTAGTGGAGGTGTGTGCTGTATATATGTACTACATATACATTACACACGTCCAGTACACTATAGCAATAGATTTACAGCCAGCCCCGTCCCAGCTTCCCTTACTCACAGTTTTACTCCGATCCCCATAGCCTCACGCGAATCCTCTTGTAGTCGGCACTGGGCAGGATCGCTGCATCGCATCTCGGTGCTCAGCATTAACTAATCAGCTTCTCTCTTCAATTTGTTCAGTTGAAGGAGAACTATGGGGTTAAGTCTTTTCCCCATAGTTCTCCTTTGGGTAACGGGAGGACACAAACTAGCGTTCTCCTGTCACCCTAGGCTCAGTTTTCCGCGAGCTGTAGCTCGCGGTATACTGAGACGTCGCAGTATACGTATACTGAGACGCCGCAGCTGAAGCGGAGCCCGACAATTGTGCCGGGATCCGCCCAGCTGCGTGACTGACAGCTGGCTCTGCCTATCTAGAGGTCAGAGCCAGCTGTACCCGCCCCCTCCCCCGTGCGTTCCGCCAGTCAGCGCTGGCGGATCGGAGCGGGGGAAATCCAGCCTCTCCCGTCACGGCAGAGAGCTGTGACAGGATCGACAGGTGAGCGAACGCCGGTATGTGTTCGCTCACCTCCCGATCTACGGAGCCGACCTGTGACAGTCTCATTGTCACAGGTCGGCTAGAACTTTTCACTCACCTCATAGTTCTCCTTTAAGCTTTGAAAATGAAAGAGAGAAGCGTGTACAGCTACTCCTGATTTTGTTTGTTCCAGTTCTGATAAATTCCCCTCAATATGTTTACATGATAGACTTTATAAGGCATTCCGCCATATTCTTCCCATGAAACGTTGTCACAAAGCTTGCCTTCTTCCCATAGTGCATCCCGGTGCCATCAATTCCCCAGGCAATTCACATGCATGCACCCAGCCGTTCACATGATGTAAAGGAAAACGTGATTCATCAGACCAGGCCACCTTCTTCCGTTGCTCCGTGGTCCAGTCCTGATGCCCACGTGCTCACTGTAGGCACTTTTGGAGATGGATACGGGTCAGCATGGACGCCCTGACCGGTCTGCGGCTACACAGCCCCATACACAACAAACTGTGATGCTTTGTGTGTTCAGACACCTTTCTATGAGAGTGTACACAGGGCTATGGACTCTCCCCATATGAGAGTGTACACAGGGCTATGGACTCTCCCCGTATGAGAGTGTACACAGGGCTATGGACTCTCCCCATATAGTGTCCATAGGGCTATGGACTCTCCCCATATGATAGTGTACACAGGGCTATGGACTCTCCCCATATTATAGTGTACACAGGGCTATGGACTCTCCCCATATGATAGTGTACACAGGGCTATGGACTCTCCCCATATGATAGTGTACACAGGGCTATGGACTCTCCCGACATGATGACATACATAGGGCTTTGAACTCTCCCCACGTGATGGCTTACACAAGGATTCTCTCCATATAATCCAGTACACAGGGCTGTGGACTCTCCCTATGTAATAGTAAACAAAGAGATACAGACTCTCCCCATGTGGTCTCGTACACAGGGCTATGGGCTCTGACCAGTGATCGAGATTCCGCAGTGTTTGAGCCACCGAGGAAGCCCATAAGGTAAAATGTCTCTGTGATCCTCAGCAAGGCACCATCGACAGCCGAATCTCCTGATGGCCTTTTTGTAGTGCCGCAGCACTCTGCAGACACACACCATACTCCTTAGGAACGTTCATAATGCGTCTGAGGTGCGCTTACAGTGACCTGAATGCAAGAGTTCGGCACGTTATGGCACACACAGGGCTATGGACCTTCCCCATATAATAGTGTACACAGGGCTGTGGACCTTCCCGATTTAATAGTGTGCACAGGGCTGTGGACTCTCCTCATATAATAGTGTACACAGGGCTATGGACCTTCCCGATATAATAGTGTACACAGGGCTGTGGACCTTCCCGATTTAATAGTGTGCACAGGGCTGTGGACTCTCCTCATATAATAGTGTACACAGGGCTATGGACCTTCCCGATATAATAGTGTACACAGGGCTATGGACCTTCCCGATATAATAGTGTACACAGGGCTGTGTACTCTCCCTATGTGATAGTATACATAGGGCTTTAGAACATTCCCATGCGATCCCATATACAGGGCTATGGACTCTCCCCACTTGATGGTATTTAGAGGGCAATGGACTCTCCCCATGTTATCCTATACACAGAGCTATGGACTTTCCTCATATAATGGTGTACACAGGGTTATGAACTCTATCTTTTGATCTCTGATAGTTCAGCAGTGGTGGCGGCATGAGAGTACCTGTCCTTACGATGTGGGAAGAGATGCTAGAAGTGGTTCCCTTTCGTACTTAATACCATGGGGGGGGGATTGTGTGCTTTTTATGTTAGCAACAGATTGCTGCAGTTAGCAGTTTGTCTATTTTAGCAGATATATTAATCGACAGACAGCTGTGTAGCTTAGGGATGGGCAGAGGAATGCTAAGGCTGGGCACACACCTTACAACCATCGCAAGACTTTTGTCTTGCGATGGTTGTAAGGTACTTAAAAAAAACGTACGATCTGCCCATCTTGGACAGGCAGATCGTACTCTCGATCATCGCAAGCCCGCCCCCCTGAGAGGCGGGCTTCCGATTACCGCAATGCTGAACGGGCAGTGTGCGCGTGCGCACACCGGCCCGTTCGGCATTTGTCTCCCGAGCACCGTTCGATTTTCGGCTGGTTTTCTAGCGTGCTCCTTAGACAAAAGACGTGCGACCGTACAGTAGAAACGGTTGCACGTCTTCGCAGTATATGGGCACCTTTAGAGAGGACCTACAACAGCAAGATCTTAGAAGGTCGGGCAATGAATGGCAGCAGACCTCCCTGGTTTCATCATTGGTGCCAGGTATTATAGAAGCATGCCCTCAATTACAGGGTAGACTATAAGGAGATCTTCAAATTGCCCAAAAGCAAAACAGTTTAACAAATAATTTGTGTTTTTAATGTTTGTTTTGTACAAATGCTTTGTAATTATATATGTAGAGATAGGAAACCTTGGCACTCCAGCTGTTGTGGAACCAGACATCTGAGTTGGGATCCCTGTGGAACAACAAGTCCCATGATTTCCAGAGGCAGGTGCATGATTGAATTTGTAGTTTCACCAAAGCTAGAGTGCCAGGGCTACCTACCCCTGATATATGAATTGTACAAAGGGGGTCAGCACGCTACTTGGAATGGAGGCTCAGGGCTACATAATGTTCTGGGTTTTCTTTTAATTTGACCACTTGAAGCAGCTCTTGAGCTCGGAATGAGTGACCTTGCCCAGGTATGGTCTCTCTGACACACTCCAAGCTTGAGAAAGAGCCTTGTGAGAGCTCAGAATGTGGGAACTTATGAATAGAAATTGTATCTTTTGTACAGCTACTTTGTATAAAAGTACTGCCATTCAAAGACCTCTGTGCACATCACGTTTGCTGAAATTGTATACTGGTGACGTCCCTGAGGAGCCTTGGGGGATTGTGGTTTCAGCACAAGGCAATAACAAGAGGTGTGCACCTTCCAATAGGAAGAGCTGCACATCCACCATGTCTTTTTTTTCAGCTTTTCCTCAAGAAACTACAGTTTTTTGTTACATAGACGTGTTCACAACATCAAAAATTGCACTCCACCAGACCCTGCTCCTCCAAAGAATTTCTCCCCACCCTATGATAAAGCCACCAGCTGGTGTAAAACACATCAGTAGATAAGGTCAGAGACTGACGGAGGGCAATGTGTTTGGATTTCTTGTTGTGAACTATCACATGTTAAAATTTGAGCAACAGTATAAGGGGGAAAAAGAAAAAAAAAAAGTTACATGGCACATGTGCAGTTTTTCCTGTTTGATTTTGGCAAGTTAGGGAAAGATGGACCGCATTTAGTCAGCACCCATGATCGGTAAAGCCAAATACCACTTGGAGGGGTATCTTGTATCAGTATTAAATTTTCATTGTGTGGATTGTCTCTTCAGGGCTGCTAGACATTGGCTACAGCACAAAAGACAACACAGTCTTCTCTCCTACTGTTTTAGGGCTCATTCACATCATACGACCCACATTCATACACACCTTGCTGCAATACACTGTAGCTGTACATTGCCATGCAAAGTCAATTGTAGCCTTAAAGGAGAACTATGAGGTGGGTGCTTTTCACTCACCTCATAGTTCTAGCCGACCTGTGACAATGAGACTGTCACAGGTCGACTCAGTAGATCGGGAGGCGAGCGAACACATAGCGGCGTTCGCTCACCTCCTGATCCTGTCACGGCTCTCTGCAGCTGGGCGGATCCCGGCACAAATGTCGGGATCTGTTTCAGCTGCGGCGTCTCAGTACACTGCAAGCAGTAGCTTGCGGTTATACTGCGGTGTCTCAGTATTCCGCGAGCTACAGCTTGCGGTATACTGAGCCTAGGGTGACGGGAGGACGCTAGTTTGTGTCCTCCCGTTACCCTAAGGAGAACTATGGGGAAAAGCCTTAACCCCATAGTTCTCCTTTAAAGGTGGCCATACACTTTACAACCATCGCAAGACCTTAAATCTTGCGATGGTTGTAAAGTAATTTTTAAAAAAAACCTACGATCTGCCCATCTTGGACAGGCAGGTCGTACTTGCGATCATCGCAAGCCCGCCCCGCTGAGGGGCAGGCTTCCGATGACCGCAATGCTGAACGGGCAGTGTGCACGTGCACACACCGGCCCGTTCAGCTTTTGTCTCCCGAGCATGCCACAACATGCTCCTTAGACAAAAGACGTGCGGTAAAACAGTCGCACGCCTTCCATACACTTTGCGATTATCGTACGATTGCGGCATTTCCCGCGATTATCGTACAGTGTATGGGCACCTTAACACACCCCTATAGTACATTGCAATGCAGGTGTGTTAAAGCGCACCATAAGGCACATATGCTCTGTATGCTGCACATGGTACATCATGTATTTGTTGGTGGTTCAAAGCCTTTTCATTTGAATATGCTGTCCAGTGAAATGCATGAGAACTCATATGTTGTAGTGCACTGCATTCCGGTGTAAACAAGGCCGTAATGTTCTGGCTCATCACTGGGTATGGGAGTAAGGCTGTGATGGACAGACACTGGCACTAAGCAGCAGAATTGGGCAAGAAGATGGGCTTGGGTAGAACAGATGGCAAGCTACAGCTATGACATTTAAGAGGCCCGGGGGTTTACATGCTTATTCAAATCTTTCAGATGCAAGTAAGCTCATTGGCTTTGGTAGGACAAAGACAGGCCTCCCTTGCTGGGTACCAAGAAGTGAATCAATGTGTAGAAAGAATGGACACCAGAACAAAAATAGGTAAGAGTCCCTTTAATTTCTCAGCATTTCCCAGTTGCTCCCAAAATATATGGCAGTTTGTTTGAATAATTAAATTGTGAATAATGAAGGGCACTTTTAGACTTTCACCTTATGAACACATCTTACCATAAAAGGTGGCAAGACATGTACACCTAGCTAAAGATGTAACAGGCCGTTACACAGGAATTGGGATTTCCATGACCAACATCTGGGTGAAAGATATACATACCCCCTGCCCTTCTGAGGGGGGGGGGGGGGCACACTCCCTTTTCCTCTCCTTCAGTGTCAGTGGATGAAGTATAAGCGCTTTTCTTACCAATTACCTGGCACATGACATTTTAACTTTATAGATTTTTTTTTATTTTAAGGTTTGCCTTTCTATCTGTCATGCTCTAAGATAAATCTGCTACAATGATAATATAGAGGAGTACTACGTAGCAGCATTTACCTAATCAATACTGGACAATGACAGTGTGGCTGAGGCCAATTATTTGCAGTCTCCCTACTATACAGTGATTATAAAAAAAAAACAAGACAAATACAATTTCATTCACTTTCAGGAGACCAGTCACAATTCTTTACCAACAGTTCAGATACCGAGCTACAGCGCATACAAAAGCCTTATAAAAAATAAATATCAACTGGAAATAACAGTTATTGCATAGATAAACACTTCTTTCATCTTCAGGCAGCGCTCAGACAGATTGAGGACACGTCAACAGGCCTCCTGAACTCGCCGGTACAGTTGTCTGCAAACCTGGTCCTCACAGCTCAGCTCCTGTGAACAAGGGAACATCAGAATTACAGAGGCGAGTCAACAAGTTACCTTATATACGCTGGAGGCTATGGCCACCTTCCAGTGGAGAACTACAGATTCCAGAAAACCCCCATGCTAGGATATTTCCTATTAACAGTTGCATTATAATGCATCTAAACCCGACAAATGCAAATACAGCCCCTTAATATAGTTATATTAGAGCTGAATTCTAGGCCGATATAAAAGACACAAAGCAATGCAGCTCTGCAATCATTTAATGTATTTTTTTTATACAAATATATACATTTCAGAAATGTACTTGATACGGTAAATTCTGTTATCTGGTATTCAACTAACCAGAAACAAAAATAAATCCCGTGTACTTCCTGTTCTGCAGCCTGTATTATCCCAGAAGCGATTGTGTGCCTATTTGTCTTAAATTTGCTTTCGATTACTGCATTTCAATATTAACATGAAGTCAATACAGAGGGTATGGTATAGTATGGGAATGGCATTAGTTAGACCTATTTTTAATAGTAACTCAAGCAACCAGAAACTGCATTCATCCGTAATCTGCCAATGCCCGTGAATGCTGGATAAATGGGAAATTTACTGTATTAGCCTCTTGCAGTCCCTATACAGGAGAACTGGATTGTAAGACAAAGCACTGCAAGGAGCCAATCAGTTTATGCGCTAGACAAGAATCACGCTGATAAGAGAAATTAAAAAAGGAGAACTATGACATGAGTGATTTCCACTCACCTCATAGTTCTAAGCCGACATGTGACAATGAGACTGTCACAGGTCGGCTCAGTAGATCGGGAGGTGAGGGAACACATAACGGGTTCCCTCACCTCTATGCCATGACAGGGGGGAGGGGCTGGATTCCCCTCTCCGATCTGCCAGCGCTGACTGGCGGAACGGACGGGGGAGGGTACAGCTGGCTCTGCCTCTAGATAAGCAGAGCCAGCTGTCACTCACGCAGCTGGGCGGATCCCGTCATCTACGTCAGGATCCGCTCCAGGTGCGGCGTCTCAGTATACCGCGAGCTGTAGCGCGCGGTATACTGAGCTTAGCGTAACGGGAGGACGCTAGTTTGTGTCCTCCCATTACCCTAAGGAGAACAACACTGACCCCATAGTTCTCCTTTAAGGCGACAGATTAGCTCATCATTGTGCTGGCTTTCCTTTTACGGTCTAGGAACAGGCTGGGGCAGGTCAAGGACGTCCTGGGCTCAAAAGAAGTGAGTTTTAAAGGATTCTGACCATTAGACTATGGACATCCATAGGCAGGAAAGTACTGCAGAGAAAGTTTCCTTATTGAAGGTGAATATTCCAGCAAAAGTTGGTGCTCATTTGAAGTGCTATTAATTTTTTGGCTGGCATAACTGTGTTAAGATATTGTAAATGCAACTAGTGCAAATACCTAAAATTACTTATTTTCAGCCTTTTAATCCCCTGTACAGCAGCACTCAGACCACGACAGCCAGTATCAAATGGTGCTGACAAGGAACATACCAATAGGGATAGAGCTAATCGGTGTGTTTTCTGTTCAAAATGGCTGCCCTAAAGATGGACCCATTACTACAGCACACAAGAGGGTGCGCATGGCCATTTGTCTACCTGCATTTTTTTAATTTGCAATCCGGCCCTGCAGATCTACTCTTGAATTTTCTTTCAGTGTAGCCAACATATATTTGGTTTACATCTGCAGTGCAGAGATCAGTGTGAGGTATTTAATGGTCACATGTGCTGTGTAGGGTGACCGTGAGGGATTTAGTGGCCACGTGCCATGTAGGGTGACAGTTGCCCATGTCAGTGCTGATCTATGCAATCTTTAGTATGCGACGAGTTAACAGGCTGAACAAAAAAGCCCCAACAGCTGCAGCCACTCCTCCCCATATTCCAGCATGGCGTTTTTCGTGGCATTCCAGCAGCGACCTACTCACACATTGGAATGGAACTTTGAGACTGGCATCTTAATAACCGATAACAATGAAATCAGTGCAGGCCAAGTATTTGCTTCAATCCTGGACTATTTGAAAGCCGATTTGAAGGAGCTCTGAACTTACAAAATAATCTGTCACTACTGAATGCCCCTTCTGAAAATACTAGCTGCCTGGCTGTTATGAGCCAAATCCCAATTCCAATCACAAGTTTCGTTTTATCCCGACTTAAAACTAAACTCCAGACAAGGTCATTTCGCTTAAAGGTTTTTAGGTTGTTTATTTGAATGGAAGTGTCAGATACAGCCAACCTTCCAGGGGACTCCCCCTTCTGAACTTGAGCAACAATAGGTAATGTAATCAGGTAGAGCTGTATTTTGTAGCCTAAATTAGGGCCGGATAAGCACCAAGTGTCAGCGTAACCTGTCTTCAGTGAGGACTGGATCTCTCAAAGGGTATTTAAAAAAGCAAAAAACTATTAAGTTTAGAATACAGTATAGCAGGGTTAGACTGAAGTTTAAATTGCTGTGTGACCACATTGTGAAGATTTAACATTGTGTCCTGGTAACCATTGTCACCAAGGCAGAAAGTGAAAGGAAAGCCAAAATAACCAGCACAAGTAGTGAAGGGGAAAGCTTCCATTGGGGACACTTGTTCAGTGACATCTAAGAGGGGAACTATATCTAGCTTCCTATTGCATCTGTTGGATTAGACATGCAGCACAGGAGCTCAATTGCCATATGCACGTCTTACGACTCAGTGTCCTCAACAACTGTTTGCTTGGCCAAACAGTCCCATTTATTTCAGGAGAAGGTGTAGAGCAGACTGCAATAACTACAGATTACAAGGAAACTGACTACAATAGGTTTTTTAGCCTCCCCTCGTCACAAGATTGGCCCGTGCTTGTTTATAGAGCCAACAGACATGATCAGGCCAGTCATCGGTATAAGTGCATGATGACCAGACAACAGTCATGCCATGTACAGTATGTGTGGCTTTAAAGTAGACCAACAATGAGATAAGCAACCTAAAGCCATGTTTTCCTTTCCTAAAGAGATGCGGCCCCAGGTTTCTTCTAATCTAGCTTACGTAGCCAAATGCTTAAGGAATGGTTATGTGACCGCCAGAGTCCAGAATAGCCAACTATCCCCTTCAGTACAGATTATACTAAGACCTAGAATGTTATGAGAGTTGTAGCAGTGTAGGGAAGCCTGCCCTGAGGGACTATGTAGGCTGCCATTGTTGACCTCTCCTTGTGAAATCTTGCATGCCTGGCTGTGAAATGTTTCCAGTACTTTTCCAATTCACTCAGTGAAATCAAGTATCCAGATCAGCAATTCTGTCATCACTTACTGTAAACTTGTTCCAGAGCAGAGACTAAAGTTAAGCCAGTGGTGGCAAGCCAAGTAGTGTTCCGGGAGCGATCAGCAACGTTTTACAACAACTTAGGAGAATTTACTTTTAAAGACCAACCAAAACTGTTGGACGGATGGATGTCTCCAACTTTAACATGGGCCCAAAAGTGGCACGTTTTCTTAGAGAGAAGTGGTGAGGTAATTCAACCAGCGTTATGGGAAGGGGGGGACGACACACACAACCATTGTCTATCAATGATAGGTTTACTGGATAAAAGACAGCATAGACATACCAGATGTAGATCATCTCCATCCAGCCAATGAACCCATCCCCGGTTCTTCTTCTCCCCCTTCTGAATGCAGACTAGTCGTCCATTGTCCAGTTTGACTAAACTCTGCTCGGGAAAAAAAAATAATATATATATATATATAAAACCCCACACATCATTTAATGCTCTTTAAAGAAGGCAGCCTATGTCATGTGCATTTAACTTGTTTTGCAGTTCCCAAAATATGAACCCCCCCCCCAAAAAAAAACCTGAATTTGAGCAAAGTAGATATCCAAATGTCCTGCAGCAGACTAGCATGACGGTGGTGGGATATGTTGCTGTAGTAGCGCGGTCCATTATGAAGATCACCATTTTGTACTGTGTTAGACCGCCACCTGCTGGTGATGCAAGGTACAGCATTTAAAAAAAAAAGGACAACTCTACTTTTCCCCAGAGATTTATTAAATGCCAACTGGACCGTCATCTTAAACAATACATCCCAGGTTCTTAAAAGAAAAGGCGTTTAAAGTCTCAGGCTGGATTCACACTGTTCTGTAGGTGTCTTGCAGCAAGTGGGGTAGTGGACATGACAGTGCACATGTGTGAATTAGCCCCATCAGAATACAAACCACTCCTTGAAATGCATTTTCTTGCAGTAAATGCATGAGTTTTTCATTTTGCTGCATGAAAATGAACTGTGGTGAATATGCCCTTACAATCAGGGGTGTATCTACATTCCAGCACATTCTAGGGGGGCAGCAGAAAACACCAACCCAAACCAATTAGTCACACAGGGCCAGACTTGCCTTTGGGCATACTGGGCACTTGCCCAGTGGGCAGAGGCTGAGCGGCACAGAATCAGGCAGTGGTGGCTGCCCAATGAGGCAAACTAGGTGTTGCCGCAAGGCCCTAAGAGTGATTGCCTAATGAGAGCTGCCTGGTGGGGGAGGGGGGCAGTGAGTTGCAGTCTGGCTAGCTTTGTACAGGAGGTGGAGAAGAAGCAGCGGGTGGCTCGGGGCTGGCCATAGCATGTGATCTGATGGCGGGATGTCCCAGAAGCAGGCTGGGGACTGCAATGTATTCTTTAGATTGAGGGGAGTGCCCGAGTTTAGTCTTGCCTAGGGCAGCACAAAACCAAAATACACCACTGCTTACAATTTCCTTACTTTAGAAAACAGCACACGTTGCAAAGCCTGACTTCCTGAAAGCATACTGCAGAGAAGAACACTTGCTCTGCGTGGAAGCAGCAGCCTCTCTGCTGAGGTCTGACACCCCGTTGCATCAGAGCACCCAATCAAGTAAGCCGAGCTTTAGGTCTGACTTAGCAGGAGGTATGGTGGGCCTCTACAGAGATACCACTGCTTACACGCCAAAAGCAAGGCTCCTCTGCAGCATACTGGCTGGAGACAGACTTTTCTTCTCTGCCTGTGGTTCACGATGTCACCTGATCCCTGCCATACCTTGCATTTTCGGTTATCCAGGCCCTTGGTGTCTTCATCAAACTCCTGCCCCAGCGTGAACTGGACCCGGTAATTGCGCAGACTGCTGAGTGTCCGGATGACAAAGACCTCTCCATCTTGTTCTATGATCTTCTGTGGCTTGACTAATTTGGCCAAGTTCCTGGTGATAATGTCAATACCTGAAATGCGGGTATAAAGGTTTATGGCTTAATCCCCAGTAATGCACCATACTGACAGATCTTAAGACCTTGTGATTATAGAAAGACAAAAGACAGACAGTCCAGAAAGACAAAAGACAGACAGTCCAGAAAGACAAAAGACAGACAGTCCAGAAAGACAAAAGACAGACAGTCCAGAAAGACAAAAGACAGACAGTCCAGAAAGACAAAAGACAGACAGTCCAGAAAGACAAAAGACAGACAGTCCAGAAAGACAAAAGACAGACAGTCCAGAAAGACAAAAGACAGACAGTCCAGAAAGACAAAAGACAGACAGTCCAGAAAGACAAAAGACAGACAGTCCAGAAAGACAAAAGACAGACAGTCCAGAAAGACAAAAAGACAGACAGTCCAGAAAGACAAAAGACAGTCCATTGCCCACGACAACCAAATTCTGCACTGGAAACATTTTACAGGGAGCCAGGAAGTTTCTTCAAGCCCATAAAGCGCAGTTATCAGACCTATACCCACTCCTCCAGCCCATGTTCAAGAAGACATACATGTTAAATGAGTGGAGCCATGACATATAAAGCCCATCACAATACATGCCTGCGTCTTGGACATCATTCTGATCCATACTTGAGTCCCGAACACAATATAAGCAGACCGATCATGAGTTCTGATTTCACTCGCTGCATATTTGAGTTTACTCATAAAATGGACTTTGATAGGTTCAGGAAGTTCCAGGAAACCCATTTTGTTGCCTATAGCAAACATATCTGGCTGCCTCACCTTTATGCAAATCGAGGACAACTGGTATCCGATTGCCATGGAAAACAGGCTCTTCCATCGCGACTGCATAAATATGGCAGGTTTCCAGAGCCGTTTTAGCCAGTCACCAGTGTGGTTTGAGGATACTTTGGCTGGAGACCAATATTTTAATTAGGCAGATTTGTTCCCAGCTACACAGTGATTCATTGTAGTTTATATTCTAGGCAGTGTGAAGACCAAAACACAGATCTCAAGCTGCAGCTTACAGCAATTGCCTCATACTATATGCAAGCATGGCCATGGAAGAGCAGATCAGCCCGAGAAGGACAGTTGGGGGCCCATACCTTGCTTGTTGAGTTGCTGGAGCGCTAGAATTAGCAGTTATCCTCGGCCCACTGACAGCAGCTCACTAGCGGTTCTTTCTATTCTACCCACTCCTCCGTAAGGGCAGGTTCACACCATTTTTTGGACTAGATCCGGTTCGGAAAATGGTGTGAACCTGCCTGCAGTTCCAGACCAGACAAAATGAGACATGCAGTATTTTTCTGGTCTGGAACGGACTGCAGGGATGTGAACAGAGGCCAGGAATAGCACAGGGATACATTAGGAAGCATTTTGGGTCCGGAAACAATCTGGATGTGGTGTGAATGTGCCCTTAGAAGAGATAAGCCCTGCCTGTATGGACCGTCCAACAAGGAGTCTTTGAGGCCCATTTATAAACAAATTGCAGTGCCCTTCGCCCTGCAAACAACTGAACTTTCATCTTGGGTGAATAATGCCCCCCCCAAAAAATACACATTTAATTTTGCTTTGTATTGTCATGCAGTAGTACATTTTGGTCACTACAGTATATGACAATACATTTCAACTGGGAATTTTGTTTTTTAAACCTTGCTTTTTAGCATTATTCACCCAAAGCGAATGTTCAGATATTCATACGGTGAAAGGGCCTGAGAATCGTTCTGAAATAAATCCTTTTATAGAAATCTGAACCACGCAAAATTGTGAACGACATCAAAAGTTATCTGTAATATAGTGATGTTACTAAAGTACCTCAAAACTGTACTTACTGGTGAAAAGAACCAAAAAACAGTCAATACATTCCTTTTGCAGCTTTGCTATATTACTTTCTAATACACTTTATAAATACAAAGCAGTGAATATGATGTTTACTGCAGGTGAATCTTCCAAGTGCATGCATTTTGACAGCAACTGATTCACTACCAGTGACCATTTGGTGAAAGTCATTCACCACTTTATGAAAGGGCAGCCAATTAATTTCAATGTGCCAAAACAGCCCCCTGCACTCTTTTTTTAAGAATGCATTTCACCAAAACACATGGAGGAGAATTTATCAGAGCAGTTGTACATGGCAACCAATCAGGTTCTATCTTTCATTTTCACATCTTACCTGAACAAGAGATGCCGATTGGCTCCAGATTTGGATAAATTCCCCCCCTATACTTTGTTATCATGCATTTTGACACACACACACACCACACACTTTAGTTGCCGTGAGCAACAGCTTGTTCCCTCTCCCTCCATAGATCAGCAGCACTCAGTGCAGAATGAGATTTTGCCTTTAATTTGCTGTAATCTTCCAGATGGAGAACCTTCTGGCTTGAAATTATACAGGAATTCTAATTATAACTATTACTACCACTCCCCCCCCTTACCCTGAGATAACGTTATTGTATTTCCACCAAAGAGCTACATAGCGTCTACTAAGTGACCACGAATAACCTCCAGCAGATGAAGGTGACACAGCGTGTGTCTGATAGACGAGGACACGGGAAAGGATGTTTGGCTTTGCTATTATGGTGTTTCCCCAGACACACGAGCTTACCCAGACTCTGCATGTAGCGGTCAAAGTTGTCATTGCTGACCATGGCCCAGGTGCCATTAAAGTTTGGAGGCGCCATCAGTAGAGGTGAGCACACTTCCTATCAGAGCTGCAGATGAGGAATTATGTGCAGCAAGTCCCAGCCTGACTATTTTTATACTGATGGTGGAGGAGTGTCGCCTATTTCCAACACAGAGAGGCCCACCTACAATCTATTGCCTGTAACCCTTTCTTCTCATCTGATGGAGAGACCTTTGTGCAGAGTTCAGGAAGCAAAAGGCTGCAGGAACCTAAGTGGGTTAATGAGTCCTCCAATTACTCAATAGTCATAAGACAGCCAGAATATCCCACAGAAAAGTCTACATGTTATTTATACATATTGTTATTTAAAAAGGGAAAGCATGTGTTTGTAATTAGCAATCTAACCAAAGGCACGTCTAGGTGTCACGTCACTGCAGAAAGGTCTTCCATACACATGCATGCACAGATTGAACCCACATACATGTTTATTCCTTCGGAGGTGAAAGAGGGTGAGGATGGCCAGGCAGTGCCACTTCCAGCTCATTATAAGCGTTGCAAAATGTATGGAGGTCATTTGCAATCTGTAAAAACTGGAGCAAGTGTAGACCGTGTGCATCGTGCATTTTAATGAACTTTGAATATGCAGTATAAAGGCAAACTCCGGACAAAAACTATTTTTGTATATTTGCACAGTAGAAATAAATTTGCAGTGATGAAGTTGTGCCATTGGTTTCTTTCAGCCCGCAACGAGCTGTTGGCGACAAACATCCAGCACTGAGATTTAAGTTCTGGCTACAGTACACAGATTGCAGTGGTCGCTCGGCATACCCCGACCACCATTCAGAAAAGGCCATGCATTCTTTTCAGTGAACGCAAGGCATTCTGTGATTGGAGGAGGGGAGATTGTGACATTCATCCGCACCTCCTCCAATCACAGAACGTCTTGAAACGTCCATTGAAAGGTATGCATGACTTTTTCTGAATGGGGTGGGTACAGAGAGACTCACTACGATCAACGAACTGAAATCTCAGCACCGGATTTTCACCCGGGTCGGGTCAGAGTAACAAAGTCGGCACGCTGTATCATTTTTGCCCACTATTAAGCAAAGGTCCGCAGCCGCAGCAATGTATTCAGTTCTGTCCTGCCGCAATTCTAGGGGTGGGCGTCTGAGGAAAATTGCAGATCAACCGCCTGACAGGAAGAAGACGACAGCACTCTTATAGGAAGTGTTCAGAATTCTCCATCACGTTTAATCAGTGTAACCCCGATTCCATCTCCTTGTATTCAATCGACTTTTGTAGAAGGAGCCCCGTGGAAAATGATTGGCCATTGGCCAAGCAGTGGCTCTATCCAATCAGAGGCAGGCGCTGTTGGGGTGTTCACCTGCATACAACAGCCTGCCGCAGGATTGCTCTATCTATGCAGTTTTGCGCTGAAAGGGGAATCTAATGATATCTCTCATTGGGCCCCGCAGGGCTACACAAGAGAAATCTATTAGTGTGTGGTCAGCCTAAAGCTCACCACACACTATACAATCTGATTGCCCTTTAAATCTACCGACAAATATGTAGTGCAAGGACATCGCTGATTGGATGCAGATTGATTGGGTAGTTCAGGCAGGATACATAGTTTTGGTAAATATAAAGTTGATTGTACAAAGAGTGTGTGGTCAGATTATAACGTGCAGGGGGAGCCTTCATACATGGCCTCTGTACACTCACCCCATGCTCAGCCTATACGTTATTATTTCCCAGTGACCCGGGCGGTTAATGTTTCACACATCGCACTGTAGGAGCAATGTCAGCACAAGTCTGCCCAGGGGACACTTATTTGCTTGACCTGTTAAACACAGACAGGGTACTGGAGCTCAGATTCCATGGCAGGGTGACCAAGTGACTGGATGGTGTGGCGGGGCAGATTCATTACATCCAATAGCAAAGGGCACACAGTCACGCCAACAGTTATTGCAATTCTACCAAACATCCAGGGGGTAGCCAGAGGCTGGTGCAATACAGGACAGTTTATTTTTATTAGATAGAGACTTGCCTTCTCAATTTTATTTAAAAAATAATAATAAAACGCATTATTATTAATAATAATAACTCATCACTGTGATGGGAGCTCCTCCCCCCACTATATATATATACCGTGTTTCCCCGAAAATAAGACACTGTCTTATATTTTTTTTGGCTCAAAAAAACACACTAGGTCTTATTTTCGGGGTAGGTCTTATTTTTTTTTTAATGTACAAAAATCCACACTTATTCATGTATAACAATCGCTGGCCAGAATAAGTGAAGCGGACTTTCACTATCGATTCCTCACAGACGGAGTGCATTTGGTATCACTCCGCCTGTGACAGAAGCCGGCGCTATAGAGGAAGCATCGGCTTACGCGGCTCTGCTCCCTCTGGTGCCGCCTTGCTTCCTCTAGCGCTGGCTTTTTTGGCACCGCTTATTCTCTCCTGCCTCTCCCGCGGCTCTTCAAGGAAGTTCCCCCTTATGCCACCACCGGCCCAGGGAATGGTCACAACTAGGTCTTATTTTCGGGGTAGGTCTTGTATTTTAACAAATTCCAAAAATAGTATTAGGTCTTATTTTGGGGGTAGGTCTTATTTTCGGGGAAACAGGGTATATATATATATTTGTTTGATCTGGACTTACAATTTTAAGAGTTTAAAGTAGTATTAAGGTCTGGGCGTTTTTTTTTACCTTATCTCCCCCACACTTACCTGTCAGCTGCGCTCGTCCCCGCCGCCAGTCCCGAAGCGATCCTCCGAATTTGCGGGGGGAGGATACTTAAGGCAGATGAGCCATAGGCTCCTTCTGCCATCAATCAAAGTGGGGAAGGGGCGTGGCCGGCCACATGGCTGTTTGTGTCTATGGACGCACAGAGCCGCCGCCGCGCGCACGGGTGCCTCCATTAGAGCGATGGTGGCACCCGTCCAGGGGGCGGGGAGAAGAGCATGACGGGGACCCACTAGAAAACGAGGAATGAAGAACTTTTAAAGAAAAAAAGCAACAGCCTCAAGCAAAGGAGGGTCTCCTTAAAGGAGAAATAAAAAAAATCGGCTTTAATATCACTTTAATACTACTTTAGGCCTTTGGATGAAAAACGCCTCCTCCTTCCCCGACGCTGGGCCATTTTGGCAGGTTGGAGAAATGCATGAATGAGTTCCTCGTTTTGAAAACAGTATGCATGGTACATTACGGGAAAATTTTTTATTTGTTTATTTTGGCGAAGCACTTTGAGGGTGTGGTAAGGACAATCTATGTAGGATAATAATATAGCTATTACACAATTCTAGGGGTTGGGCATGTCATGCCGGGCGTGTTGCTATTTCCTATAGAAATGTGCACGCCGGGATGCGTACTAGATCTCTTACTTGCTTTCTGCAGAAATTTCCTGTCGTGGTGGGGGACGGACCGCCGGCGGTTCGATCACAATGGCGGCTTGACGTCACTTAATTCATAAAACGGCAAAACAATCAGCAGGGAGGAATCTAAACCTAGAAAAGTGTTTAAAAAAATGTTTAAATATAAAACCACACACAGGATAAGAATGACTGAATAGTGAGAGAAGGATACGGAACTGTTTATGTGTATTTAGAAGAAGGTTACAGTCATCCTGAAGGCAAAACGTGAAGATCTGCTATGTTATAGGGAACATTCAGAAATGTTAATTGTGCCTAAACAGTACCTTACAAATGTACCCTTTATCATATATATTTATATATATATATATTTATAGACACACGCAATACCCAGCGAAGAACTTCTTTCAATTTAGGCTAGGTTCACACTATGGCGATCTTTCACTGCCCGGCAATCGTGCACAAAACTGTGCGGATGGCCACGTGGTCACAGAATCTCCCTCCACCACCGGTGCGATTATTTTCTAATGGCATCGGGTAGATTGTGTGGTTTCCCGCCGCGTTACTGCCCGTGAAAAGAAGAGGTACATGTACTTTTTTTTTTAGCGATTGCTGCACGGATGTAACCCCATTGAAGTCAATGGGGCCACGCGGCAATCGCTGAGTGCAATCGTACACGATCGCGTGGTCCCGGGATCGCCGATATCTAAACCTAGCTGAAAACAGGATATCAGGACCAGTGCTCAGGGGACCAGAGATATCAGGACCAGTGCTCAGGGGACCAGAGATATCAGGACCAGTGCTCAGGGGACCAGAGATATCAGGACCAGTGCTCAGGGGACCTGCGATATCAGGACCAGTGCTCAGGGGACCAGAGATAAGAGATGAGGACCAGTCCTCAGGGGACCCGCGATATCAGGACCAGTGCTCAGGGGACCAGAGATATCAGGACCAGTGCTCAGGGGACCAGAGATATCAGGACTAGTTCTCAGGGGACCTGCGATATCAGGACCAGTGCTCAGGGGACCTGCGATATCAGGACCAGTGCTCAGGGGACCTGCGATATCAGGACCAGTGCTCAGGGGACCTGCGATATCAGGACAAGTGGCCCTACCACTATTATCGTGCAACTCACCCAAGGCACAGAACTGGCACGCGTGGTTAACACGAGGACATAAAAGGATCGGCCCCGTCATGCAGAGATTTTCCCAATTCTGAGGGTATAGGTTAGAAATGAGGTGAACGAGTATGTCATCAGAAATTGTGTAGGGGTGGCTATGACCTTGCACAGACATCTTCTGTACACAACTGTCTAGACACAGTCCAGAGGCAGGTAAAGCGTTAAATATTAACCACCGGAGTCCCGGCTCAGCCCCAGATACTGAAAAGTTAGCCATCTCATATGTGCCTCTGGCAAGGCGTCTAGATGAGGTATTTTATACCCGTTTATGTTATTTGCCTCATTGGGACTGGTTCTTTTTAAAAGGTAATGTATACTTTATTTTGGAAATTTATTAGAGTTAGAAATAAAAATACATTTGTTCCCCCTCAGCAAACAGCTCCATCCAAAGTTTCAAACAGAGAGCAAGCAGCATCTTTTGTGCTGTATCTTTAGCCACCTCATAGTGCTCTGGGAATCCTTTATCTTGCATGAAATGTTTTTATTTGGAAAATAAAGATACTATTATATGCCTCAGCTTTGTCTGCCAGAGGGGAAGACCTGGTCTTTCTCTGCTGCCATTTCATTTACAGGTCTCCTCCCTACCCCCAGCCTGTGACTGGACACTAAAAGAAGACACTGGTGAGCTCATCTCTCCATCACTCTGCTTTTCGCATCTATCAGCACGCTCCTTGCATTGCCGAACACCTGATTGGCTCTGTGTGCTGCTTCTCCCTCCCTATGTGTGAACCCTGCTGCACAGAAGACTGCAAGAGGCCGATATCAAATCAAATTCAGGTTCTCACACTGCTTGCTTTTAAAAAAAAAAGTTTTTTGATGCATTGATAGTTACAAAGCTGCATTCATGTGTCTTCTATATCTACCAAGAGTTTTGCCTTAGGATTAGTTGAGTCAAGCAAGTTTGCATGAGCTGCACATCTTAGCACAGTCTTCCTCTGGGTTCAGGGTCTTCGGCCATCTTGGTTGCCCAGGCCAAAATGATGCAACTCCCACACATCCACATGGGAAATAATTTGTTCCAGCACCAAGATGTGCGGAGAATGTACACCGAGGCTGTGCATGCGCAGCTCAGTATACATTCTGAAGGAGATTGCAAACAGGCAGATACATTTGTTTTATTGCAGGACAGACATAGCATGTCCCTTCTACAATAAATAGCCCGTCTGGTCGCAACTCCCCCCCCCCCGCCTTTAAGGTATGTCATTAGAGCTTTTTTTAAGACGGACAAGTTTTTGCACTCGGAAATAGCCTAAATATAAAACATTCCACACAAATAATGTAAAGTTTATTGTTTACAGATTGAGCAGCAGCATCTATAGGTTCCTGTGTTTGTACAGCATTGTGATACAGGGTGACAGTACAGGACATGGTGTAGGTGACAGACCCCTATAGAGGGGTAAGGTCTGTGTCATGGAGAGCGGAGGTCATATACAACTACCAAGTGATATGTCGTCCTAGGTTCAGCAGCAGCGGCTATGTTTGCTCTGTCTTATTATAGCATGAAATTCGGTAGAACGAGTACCTGAAATGACCTGAAAACCCAAATGCACACTGCAGTCAAAACTTAGAAAACGAAGGCATCAAATGCACACAGTCTACCTGTCATCTAGCTTTGCTAGGATTGCCCAAGGCCAACCCATTGCCTAAAGAAGAACTCAGTTTTAGCCCCCTCCCCATAAATAAATACACACATATCTCTCCCCTCCCCCCGGGGATTCGGGCCAGTACAACAACATCACGGGTCTCTTCTAGCGGCAGCAGTAGGTGGTCCTGCACTGAATGGTTACCACATAATGACAATTGAGCACTCTCCAGTGCAGGCCACCATGATGACGCACTCACAGGAAGCGGGCTGAATGACCCAATTCATCATGTAACCTGGAACCAGAACTTAGTGCGTGTATACACATGTACATAAATTTGAGGTAGAGGAACGGAAGAAGAATTTTGGAGATCTATATGTTTAAGCGTCTAAACAGGTGTTTAAGTAAGCCCTTTAATGACCATTAGATGTGTCTTTTATGCATGATCCTGCTGCCAGGCTCTGCATGCTCCTGCGTACATATCAGTAAATTAGACATTTACATGAGCCCATATAGGTAATCGTGTGTCCTAGGAACACCAAACGCTGTGCCATTTAGATCTGGAGTTTAGGTTTTTCAGAGACACAAGGAGCCCATTGTAGGCTCCTTGTGTCTCTGAGGCAGAGAGATGGAAGATGTTCAGCATGAAATCATCTCACAATATGCTGTAATGCCAACCAGAAACATAGGCGAGAGCTTGAACTGCCACAGATGATAAGAGGCCCTATAATGCAGCGTTCACAGTGCAGACCGTTGATCACACGGCATCTGAAAGGGATGTGGCTTAGACCTTGGCTGGCCAGATTGGACTGCAATCCCACTGAGGTTGCTCCAATGAAAGGGCTGCAGATCTGTTGGTCAGGCATCATGGTATGTTTCTAAATAAAAAACTACTATTAGGACGGGTACCTTGTACACCAGCAATATGCCTTTTTGGTATTCTTCATGAGGAATAGTGGCCTAGATATACCAGAATTTTTCTGAATGAAACTCTTATTTTTAGCCTGCAAATTGATAGCCATTAAAGGAGAACTATGGGGTATGCTGTCGAGATCCGCCCAGCTGCGTGAATGACAGCTGGCTATGCCTATCTAGAGGCAGAGCCCGATGTACCCGCCCCCTGCCCCGCCAGTCAGCGCTGGAGGACCGGAGCGGGGAGAATCCCTACAGGGAGCCGTGGCTCCCAGGGAAATGATCGAGAAGTGAGCAATCGACGGTATGCGTTCGCTCACTTCCCAATCTATTGACCCAACCTGTGACAGTTTCATTGTCACACGTCGGCTCGAACTATGAGGATGAGTGATTTTCACTCACCTCATAGTTCTCCTTTAAAGGCCTCGATCACACCACAAACAGTGCTTTCCGGCCTGATTTTGGTTCCGGACCGCATCCCGGCCGGCTCACTTTGTTTTGGGGAGTGGCAGTGCATTGAGGGCACCGCAGCCACTCCCTCTGGCCGCAGTGCGATCACCCGCAACGCAACGGTTGGCACATCAATGCCTCTGTTGCATGCATCATTTTTTCTCACCACACCAGACCGGAACACAGCTACTGCCTGACGGGTGATCACACTGCGGCCGGAGGGCAACCACCGCCCCTACTGTCTCCCAGTGGATTGCATTGGTCAGCAAGATAATTCCATATGAGAAGCTGATTTATCTGCATAGAAATATCCAGAATAAATATCAGAAAATATGGAGTGTCAGGGTAGAGTCTGATCTGTCTATTAACCCTCCTGTGTAACTTGGGATTGCAGCCCACGGTGGTCTCTTTCTTCTCCTCACTGTTCTTTTGTATATTCTGTTTTCTTGTCTTGTTCAATTATCTAATGTGATCTGTATTTGTTATAAAGCTGACCTTAAAGAGGAACTTTACCCATATCTTCACAATAAGAACAAACACACCTTTATAAATGTTTAGTGATGACAATCTACAAACAGACACTTCTAGATCATTGCCGGCTTTATATTCTTTGCATACCTTGTTTGTCTTTTCTTCTCCGGTCTTCTGACAGTGGCCATGTTAACTAAGGGCGGGTTACTAGATCTCCCTTTACTTTCTGGAACTCTGGCACATGTGACTAGGACCATGTGGATGTGACCATCCACATGATCTCAGGGGAGGAAAATGCCTTTCCCTGAGATCTCGTGAGATTTCTTGGCAATGCTCTGCTGATGTCACCTTCCCAGCATGCAACACTTGGGCACAGATTACATCATTTTTGCCAAAAAGAAACAGGAAGTGGAAAACAAGAAATTGTAAGTAAAATACAAATATGTCTGTTTATCTAATGAATGTAAGATGATTGCAGAGCTGTATGCCGATATTATTTTCGGCCAAAGGGAGTAAAGGCCCGCTTTAAGATTGTGAGCTTTGATTATGGTGAAGTTTTTTTTTTGTTGTTGTTTGTTTTATTTATAAATGTTTTGTAGAATTTCTGATTTAGAAGATGTTGATTGTTACAATTTTATTACTGGTCAATGTCTGTCTGTACCTTTGTTTGATATGTGCAATAAAGACCAAACACTACTATCAGTGTAACTAGGCAATCACAGAATACTTGAAATGTCTACAGAGGTTTTTCTGGATCTCGGCTTTGTACAGTCAGAAAGGATAAAATGGCGGTTATTGAAGGTTCTTGGTGTTCCTCACCAGAGGCTCTAAAGTAAGGCCCGAGTTCTTTTCCTCACTCTCCTCGCTATACAAGTCATGGTTTTTGATATAATCCAATACTAGGTCAGGCACAAGATACCGGATGCTCATTCCTCTCCGTAGGGCTCGCCTGACCTTGGTGGAGGAGATGTCATTGGTGATCCACTCTTCCACCAAATGAATATTATGCCTGTACTTCCAGAGGATGTCCGACTCGTAGATGAACTTCCGTGGGTCGTTCCCTATCCTGGTGATACAGACCAGACCAAAAGACGACACTATCTCAACTATGTGTTCGGGTTTCCAGAGATTGGGGGTTCCGAGCGATTCCAACATATCCGCCCCACACAGCAGCTTCACCTGAGGGGCATCTGGAAGACATAACCCAACAAGACAGAAATAAGGGGATATGTTGGTAAAAAGTGATACATGCTTAATAATTATGTGCGCTAAGAACTAGGGATGCACCGATACAGATACCAGTATCGGTATCGATGCCGAATATTTGGGCGAGTACTCGTACTCGCCCAAATGCTCCGTTGCCTAGCCTGATACTTCCGGTATCAGGAAGCCGGGTAGCGTGTCATTACACGGTCATCACATGCTCCTCCATACCTACAAGTTCCAGGTATTTCCTTTGCTCCCAACAGCTGCATGGAGTGCAGAGGGAGTGAAGGAAAGATATGCGCTGTGGGGGGTAGGAGCATTAAAGAAAACCTGTTGCTTTGCCCTGCGTGCACAATGGTTACCTTAATGTTTACCGGTTCACAAGGAGCTAGTGACACCCCTACGGTATCATGAAAGCTAACCATCTGGTGGACCATTGTTAAAGAACAACTCTGGGCAGAATAAACCTTAACCCTTGCAGTGAGGCTACCCATGCACTGCAAGGGTTAAGTGCCCATATTAGTGCACGTTTTGGTCAAGGGTGTAAAATAAAAAAAAAGATCTACTCACCTGAACCTCCCGCCTGCCTGCTAGATCGGCCCCCGCAGCCTCTCTCTCCCTCTGCTCCGGCAGTGAAATGTCCCTCGTCGTCCTTACCTCTAATACAGAGCAATAACTTGTCCTTTGGTTGTCACGTCTTACCTCTGCTCTCCAAACATTTATGGTCGGGGACGTCTTGGCAGTTGCTGTCCCTCTTCCTCTTGTTACTCTTCCTGCACCCAGATTTCTTATTCAGGTTCTCTGCATTATTCGTACCCACGAGCTGCTGGTGATGTCTGAAAAAGATATTTGAAAAAGTTATATAAAAACAAAAACCTTTTCTTTTGCCATATGTAACAGGACTGGTCAGTCAATTCCTGCCTGAGAGACTAAAAGTCCCAGCAGGCTTTGTTAACTGTGCTGAGATCTGTAGTTCCTCGATACCCCAGAGGGGATCGTCTGTATGTGTGTGTTACCTTAACACTGCTACAGTGTCAGTCCAGTCCTGTTTCAAACACTCCCACGGGTCCACCTTTATCCAATCCGATGTCTGAGTTGCCAGTTGGGCCATTGATAGCCGATGTTGCCCCTCCACTAGGCCCTTCTTTTTGTATCCATCGCTCACAGGAGATATAATACCTTTCACTACCTTATAGTTTCCTGTTGGGACAATCAACAAATACATACAGTATATGACGATCAGCCATTGAAGTGCTGCTGAATGCATCAATCACACATTGCCCACGGACTTTCTTAAATAAACAGACAAGATAATTCTGCACCTTCAGACCTCAGATCAGCCCCAATTCAGCACCTTCAGACCTCAGATCAGCCCCAATTCAGCACCTTCAGACCTCAGATCAGCCCCAATTCTGCCCCTTCAGATCTCAGATCAGCCCCAATTCTGCACCTTCAGACCTCAGATCAGCCCCGATTCTGCACCTTCAGATCTCAGATCAGCCCCGATTCTGCACCTTCCGACCTCAGATCAGCCCCAATTCTGCACCTTCAGACCTCAGATCACCCCAATTCTGCACCTTCAGATCTCAGATCACCCCAATTCTGCACCTTCAGATTTCAGATCAGCCCCAATTCTGCACCTTCAGATCTCAAATCAGCCCCGATTCTGCACCTTCCGACCTCAGATCAGCCCCAATTCTGCACCTTCAGATCTCAAATCAGCCCCGATTCTGCACCTTCCGACCTCAGATCAGCCCCAATTCTGCACCTTCAGATCTCAAATCAGCCCCGATTCTGCACCTTCCGACCTCAGATCAGCCCCAATTCTGCACCTTCAGATCTCAAATCAGCCCCGATTCTGCACCTTCCGACCTCAGATCAGCCCCAATTCTGCACCTTCAGATCTCAGATCAGCCCCGATTCTGCACCTTCCGACCTCAGATCAGCCCCAATTCTGCACCTTCAGATCTCAGATCAGCCCCAATTCTGCACCTTCAGATCAGCCCCAATTCTGCACCTTCAGACCTCAGATCACCCCCAATTCTGCACCTTCAGACCTCAGATCAGCCCCAATTCTGCACCTTCAGATTTCAGATCAGCCCCAATTCTGCACCTTCAGATCTCAGATCAGCCCCAATTCTGCACCTTCAGATTTCAGATCAGCCCCAATTCTGCCCCTTCAGACCTCAGATCAGCCCCAATTCTGCACCTTCAGACCTCAGATCAGCCCCAATTCTGCACCTTCAGATCAGCCCCAATTTTGCACCTTCAGATCAGCCCCAATTTTGCACCTTCAGACCTCCGATCAGCCCCAATTTCTGCACCTTCAGACCTCCGATCCGCCCCAATTTCTGCTCCTTTAGACCTCAGATCAGCCCCAATTCTGCACCTTCAGACCTCCGATCAGCCCCAATTTCTGCACCTTCAGACCTCCGATCCGCCCCAATTTCTGCTCCTTCAGACCTCAGATCAGCCCCAATTTCTGCTCTTTCAGACCTCAGATCAGCCCCAATTCTGCACCTTCAGACCTCAGATCAGCCCCAATTTCTGCACCTTCAGATCTCAGATCAGCCCCAATTTCTGCACCTTCAGACCTCAGATCAGCCCCAATTCGGCACCTACAGATCTCAGATCAGTCCCATATTTTGCACTTTCAGACCTCAGATCAGCCCCAATTCGGCACCTACAGATCTCAGATCAGCCCCAATTCTGCACCTTCACATCTCAGATCAGCCCAAATCTCTGCACCTTCAAATCTCAGGTCAGCCCCAATTTCTGCACCTTCACACCTCAGAACAGCCCCATTTTTTGCACCTTCAGACCTCAGATATTCCCCACTCAACACATGTACCTCATATCAACCCCAATGTACACATGCCTTTCATACCTAAGTTCTAAATTAAAGTTCATGAATCCAACTTTTTCACAACGTTCTTGCCCCATGGCAGTATTGTATTGCAACACAGAGAAGTGACAGGTGCTCTGTGCACTCGGTTTATGGGTACCTGTGGAGTTCAGATAGTCCCGTGCCAGTTCAAATAGCCTCAGGTGCATTACAGTGATCGGGTTATATGAGCCGGTAGCCAATAGGACAACTTCTGTCCGTTCATCTGACTTCTCCATGGTATAAGATGGCTCCCGGGGATTCAAACGGATTGCATCGGAGTTACTTATACAACCTATAAGCAAACAAATGAACTTGATTAAGAGATTGCTGTAAACTTTATTTGTTTCTAATATTCAGGTAGAATTTCATATACCTCAAAAAGCTTTACAGAGTACATAACCATGCGGGTCAGTCCTTGCTGCAAAGAAGCTTTAATGTCCCCACCATGGAAGCGCATACATTAGCAACAACTATATCCGAAGCCATCTAACCTATCCGCATGTTTTTTAGGTGGTGGGAGAAAACTGAAGCACCTACTGTATATACATAAGGGAAGATTATACATACAATACAAATAACCACTCGCCATAGATATGACAGGACATAAAGTTTGCCCACTGTCAGACCACCTTTAGGGCCCATTCACACCACATCGCACCACATCCAGATCATCTCCAGACCAGATTGTTTCTGGACCTAAAATGCATCCCAAGGCTCTTCTTGGCCTCAGTTCACACCATCGGAGACAGTTCCAGACCAGACCAGAAAAATACTGCGTGTTACATTTTGTCTGGTCTGGAATGCACCGGAACGTGACACAATGGGGGGAAAAAAAACACATTTTTTTTTGGGCTGGTTTGGATGATCTCATCACCCCTGGACTTCCTGCTTCTGTGGAGAGAGAGAGATTTGTGAAGATAGGAACCATGATGGCTGAAGTGGACACTGAATTCTTTGTAGAACTTGTGGAAGCCTGCCCAGAGCTGTTTGATCCGAGGCATGGGCAATATTAGGAAGATGATAGACAAGTGCAGAGGCATTGCTGCCCAGGTTGTCCCTGGCTATGATCCCTTGAGCAGCTCAGAAAAGAACTGTGGTAAGTTCATGTCTCTTATGTGCAAGCATTGTGCTGCTCTTTTCCTGGCTATCTGTAGGTCTTGCAGAGGTCCCCCAGCAAGACCTAAAAGTGAACGCATCAAAAAGCAACGCAGTGTGTTCCAGATCTGGTCCCGAAAATGGTGTGAACCCATTCACACCACATCCAGATCATAATGGTGTGAGTTTCTCAGCCAATCAATATAGATCTGACATGAGAAACATTACTGGGAGTTCGTGGCTGCTCTTCCCTCTTGTCCTCCACGGACTTCTTTCTTTGCTCGCCTCAACACACACCTCTTCAAAAACTTCCGGTCAACTTCAGCCAAGTGTTTTCAGAAGCCAAAACCCATGTAATACTCTTTGTGAATCGACTTACATAGTTACATAGTATTTGAGGTTGAATAAAGACATATGTCCATCAAGTCCAACTGAGAATGTAATGTGCTTGTGATAACAATCAGCAGACACACCCTTTAGCAGAACAAGAATAAAAGGAAATAATGCAGTTAAAGCAAAACTCCAAGGTAAACCAAAGTTAAAGGAGAACTATGAGGTGAGTGCTTTTCACTCCCCTCATAGTTCTAGCCGACCTGTGACAGTCTCATTGTCACAGGTCGGCTAGAACTATGAGGGGAGTGAAAAGCACTCACCTCATAGTTCTAGCCGACCTGTGACAGTCTCATTGTCACAGGTCGGCTAGAACTATGAGGGGAGTGAAAAGCACTCACCTCATAGTTCTAGCCGACCTGTGACAGTCTCATTGTCACAGGTCGGCTAGAACTATGAGGGGAGTGAAAAGCACTCACCTCATAGTTCTAGCCGACCTGTGACAGTCTCATTGTCACAGGTCGGCTAGAACTATGAGGGGAGTGAAAAGCACTCACCTCATAGTTCTAGCCGACCTGTGACAGTCTCATTGTCACAGGTCGGCTAGAACTATGAGGGGAGTGAAAAGCACTCACCTCATAGTTCTCCTTTAACCCTTGCAGTAGGTCCCCCCTCCCTATGCTGCAAGGGTTAAATGCTGGTTTTGTCTCAGGGTAGAGCAGAAACAGAAATAAATACTTTCTTCCTCACTCCTGCAGGCTTCCTTCCTGCTGAACAACCGGTCCATAAAATCACTGCTCTTTGCCGCTCAGCCAGTCTCGGCCTCTCTGATCTCATCATGTACAATGCAGAACCGGTGGTCTTACACTGCATGCAAGGACAACGGGGGCCCTTCCCACGTCCTGGAGTCAGAGAGCAGGTAAGAGCGCCTGCTGCCCGGGAGAAGAGGAGTAAGGTAAGTATCTTTACTCATCTCTCTACCCCGAGGCAAATGAGCATTTAATCCTTGCCATGTGTAACCCACTGCAAGGGTTAATTTTCCATTGACTGCAGCCAACCAGTTGTGGTCACTGCTCAGGTATTTTGACAGCGCCACATCCGCCACTGTCAGAATACAATAGCTGCAGCGGTAGATTTGTTTAGTGTGGATTAGGGATTCTCTTAGATCTATCATCTACAACAGGGGTGCCCACAATTTTTGTGTTAAGTTCTACTTTTCAAATGACTAGCTACATGAGATCTAAAAACGAAAACAAAACTCCCTCGCTCTCTCTCTCCTGGCTGTCTTTCCTCGCTCTCCTGGCTGTCTCTCCTTGCTCATCCTCCTGGCTGTCTTTCCTCGCTCTCCTGGCTGTCTCTCCTTGCTCATCCTCCTGGCTGTCTCTCCTTACTCCTCCTCCCGACTGTCTCTCTTTGCTCCTCCTCCCGGCTGTCTCTCCTTGCTCCTCCTCCTGGCTGTCTCTCCTTGCTCCTCCTCCCGGCTGTCTCTCCTTGCTCCTCCTCCTGGCTGTCTCTCCTTGCTCCTCCTCCTGGCTGTCTCTCCTTGCTCCTCCTCCTGGTCGTCTTTCCTTGCTCATCCTCCTGGCTGTCTTACCTTGTTTTCTCTCCTGGCTGTCTCTCTTCATTCTCTTAGCTGTCTCTCCTCGCTCTCTCTCTCTTTCCTGGCTGTCTCTCCTTGCTCTCTCCCCTGGCTGTCTCTCCCCGCTCTCTCTCCTGGCTCACCTTGCTGTATTTTGCAAACAGTGCAGTGCAACAGGCTGTGTATACTAATATTCTTTGATGTGATACATAGCACTTCATCCACCAGAAAGGTGTCAGGGAGCTCCGCTCAGCAGACTTGGGCTAATAGGTAATCATGTGTGCACAGCTAAATAAATATACCAAAATGGAATAAAGGGGCCGCCATCACACCCTTCCTGATCTACCAGCATCAGCTTTGAGAGCTACTGGTAGATCACCATCTACCTAATGGGCACCACTGATCGACAACAGCAGTGTATGGCCATCTTAAAGAAGAACTCGGGGTAAAGAAAAAACTTTCCCTTGCAGTGACACCATCAGAGGGGGTGACACCAAAATGACTAACAGTCATTTTGGTGTCACCCCCTCTGAAGAGTCAGGCACTCGGTCATGGACCGGAGCCCGACAGTTACTTGAGAGAGGAGGGGACCTGGCTGAGTACCTAACCTGCCGGGTGAATGCCCCCTCCTGTCTCTGCCGGCATCCATCACCAAGATGGCCCCTGGCAGGTAAGTCGGGTATAGATGTTTCTTTTGTTCAACCCGCAGATTCCTCCATCAATACTGACGAATCCCCCCCGCTGTTTGCACTGTATCCTGACAGCGTCTGCTGGCCGCTGTCAAAATATCCAAACAGAGCTAGCAGCTGTTTGGCTGCAACCTCTGTTTAGCCGAGAATTTTCCAAACCAGTTGCTTCAATCAGCTGATCGAGTGATGCCAGACGGCAGGGTGCCGACAGCGGCACCCGCTGTGCGAATTTCGGCCAGTTCATCAGGAATTCGTGCCATGTGTACCCTACTTAAAGTGACATTAAAAAATAAAAAATTTTTCCCTCCCCCCAATGTTAGTGTAAGCACTTACCTTAAATGATGTCTCTTAATCCGATCTTCTTCTTTCCTGTCCTCTTCATCTGTCTCTCCAGCGCTGGTGCGGGTCTCCGATCCAGCGCTGACTCCTCTGTGCTTGCTGGCACTTCCTGTCCCATGGTGTCTGCATGCGGGTGCACGCTGCTCCATAGACTTACCTTGTGTCTCTCCTCGTCTCCCGGCCGAGAATCCGAACTGTGCATGCGCCCGCCCCAGATTTTCGGACGGGAGCGCGCAGCGAAGACACAGGTAAGTTTTAACCGCTTTTAAAAAGAAAAGGTTTTGCATATATCTACTGCTTGCTAGCCATATATACCCCGTTTCCCTGAAAATGAGACCTACCCCGAAAATAAGACCTAGTAATATTTTTGGGAATTGCTAAAATATAAGACCTACCCCACCAATATCATGCAACCATTTCATCGTGGTGACTGCGCCTCTCTCACACACTATCGGCGATCATTTGATGAATTGTGTCGCCGGTAACGATCGCTTTCCAGCTTCCTGCATTCAAAAGGAAGGGGTGAAGCCCGCTCTTCCTAGAGAAGAATCGTATATAGGACTTCAGAAGTGAAAGTGAAAAGAAATCATTTGGACGTTCCCTCCAACACAGAGGAAATGGAAGAAAATACAAAGTACCTGGAAACTGTAACCGATCCCAATCATGAATGTTCTTACCAGAGGAGCGAGACCGAGTGTTATTAAACCCTCAGGTATATATATGGCTAGCAAGCAGTAGATATATGCAAAAACTAAAAAAAAAAAGAAAAAAAAAAAAGAAGGGGTTAAAACTTTCCTTACCTGTTCTTACCAGAGGAGCGAGACCGAGATCCGGAGTTCTCCTGACAGCCGTGCGGCTTTGGTGGCGTCAGTACCGTCTTCCCCTACCTACGTCTCCTCCCCTTTTCTCCTTCACATCGTCTAACCAGTTTGACCAGTACTGGTTTCCAGTGTAAACCACACCCATGTACAGGAAAAACCTATCTCCGGGCTAACGGTTTCATTTTAGTTTGAGCGACGAGGAGGCCTTGTCACCAATGAGGATACGTTGCTCCTTTCCTCGCAGGAAACCACAAATAAAACATTTCTGGCTGGACTTGAGCTTCAAAGAGTTTCTCCACTCAGAATAAGGGCAGGGCACGAACATTCTGCGTTTTAAGTGTTTTCTTGCCAATAACGGATTTGCATTTCTGTCCATCCAGTCCTTCACACAGCTCTGCCGCACAGCACAGCTGTATCTGGCAGGGGCAGAGACATGATTTTTCCTTGCTACAGTTCAGTACTATTTGCAGGTCTTGCCCCTCCCCCAGCCTGTGATTGGACAGTCAAGCAGCAGCCTGATGAGCTCATCTCCCTGTTAATCTGATCTGTCCTCCACAGTATCTAGTGTTAGCACATGAGCATTGCAGTGCACCTTTGCTGCTTCTAATTCGCCCAACTGAGCTCTGCTGTACGCGGTACTGCATGGGGCTAAAAACAGGTCAAATTCTGGTAAATATGGGAGCTGTTTTTGCTGAACACCGATATGTATTTCTTTCCATCCAGTCATGAAGTTCACACAGCTCTGCCACACAGCACGGCTCTGTCTGGCAGGACAGGAGACCTGATTTTTTTTTCCTGCTGCAGTTCAGTGACACTTGCAGGTCTTGCCCCTCCCCCAACCTGTGATTGGGCAGTCAAGCAGCAGCCTGATGAGCTCATCTCCCTGTTAATCTGATCTGTCCTCCACAGTATCTAGTGTTAGCACATGAGCATTGCAGTGCACCTTTGCTGCTTCTAATTCGCCCAACTGAGCTCTGCTGTACGCGGTACTGCATGGGGCTAACAACAGGTCAAATTCAGGTACAAATGCGAGAGGTTTTTGCTGAACACCGATATGTATTTCTTTCCATCCAGTCATGAAGTTCACACAGCTCTGCCACACAGCACGGCTCTGTCTGGCAGGACAGGAGACCTGATTTTTTTTCCCTGCTGCAGTTCAGTGACACTTACAGGTATTGTCCCTCCCCCAGCCTGTGATTGGATGCACAGTCAAGCAGAAGCAGCCAACTAATGAGCTCATCTCTCTGTTAATCTTCTCTGTCCTCCTATCAGCATGCCCCTTGTTGTTCAGTGCACCCGATTGGCTCTGTGTGCTGAAACTCTCCCAGTCTAAGCTCTGCTGTATAGTGTACAGCGTAAGGGGCTGATAAGTCAAATTCAGGTACTTACACAGCTTGAACTAAGGAAATACGGTTTACGATGCATTACTGAGTACGGAGCTGCATTTACTTGTACCTAGCCTTAAACTGACTCGAGGTAGACAGCCTTACAAATAAGCTGAGTACTGTACCCCGTTGTCATGTCTGCTGCAATTAGATATCAGGCATACAAAAAGTATGCAAACTGTACACCAATAAAACAAAAATAAAACATCAACTCACCCCCGGCACCGGTGTCCCCGCCAGCCTCGGACCAAATGCGGTCATCATTACAGGACATTATTAATCCCCTTGTGCGAGGGCACCCCTGTCTGCTAGGTAACTCAGGCTGGACATTAATGTCATAACAGGGGCCGTACTTCCTGACTCTGGGACACGGGGCCCGGGCTATTCTGGATAATCCCAGCACACGGACACAGAGGGGGCACATCATGCTACACATGCAGGCCTATTTCCCCCATCTCTATTCCTCCGGGCAAAAGGAAGAAAACTGCAAATAACAAAAACACAAAAACAAAAATTAACTGTCTAGAAATAAAATAAATAATAAAAAAAAAAAACACAAAATGAAAAGAAAAATTAAATTATATCAAACACA